ATCGAGATATTATGCGGCATAATTTATATAATCATGGTCTATCGACGATATCGGCTTCCGATAATCGTAAAATTTCAGAGAAGATTAAAATTAAAATGTATCGCGCGACTTGACCAGAAACGTGGCGCGATATTACAGGCCAAGCAGCCGAATAACGCTATCCACTGACTTACACGTGAATCCAGAGGCAGCGGACGTGTTAAGCTTACAAATATCTCGGTAGCGAAGAAAAACAGGGCAACGAAAGTACGTTCCTCCTCGAGGAACATAAATTACTCCGCAACAGCAATTCCCACCACCAAGAACAACATCGATACCCGTGAACAATCTCACGACACACTCTGCGAGCAATCTATTCATTGGCCGAAGTTTCGCGAGAACGAAGTTTCTTTCCTTCCGGCAGGATCGTTTATCACGGGCTAATTTCTGTGCAGACCCGCGCCGCGACGGAGGAGAGGAAGCTCGATTTACGGGCGCGCGAACGGGCCGAAAATACCGATAGTCGATTTCATTAAAACGCGTCGGTGCACGTGAGTCGTATTAATAAAACGGCCCGGCGTCGTTTCCCTTGTTTCAGTATTCAAGACAGGATGGAGCTGAAGCGGAAATTGCATTGCAAGCCCTTCAGCTGGTATCTGAAAAACGTGTATCCCGAGCTGGTTATACCGACCAGCGAGGGCGGTCCTGGTGGGTCGTTGAAGCAGGGAACCGCGTGTTTAGACAGCATGGGCCACCTTCTCGATGGAAATGTGGGTCTTTACCCGTGTCACGACACCGGCGGTAACCAAGTAAGTACACCGGCTCGTTATTCATCGTGCTCGCTGCTCTGTCCCGGGGGGTAAAACCGACAGGAAGGCTCCGTCAAAAATAACTTCTCGCCCCGTTCCCGTTATTAATCCGTGTATTCAATTTTACGTTTCAATTATCGCGTCGAGGATTTCGTTCTGTGACGCTGGATTAACGGAGATCGACCGGACTGCCTGACGGTCTTTGCGGTGAAGTTTCAGTGGGGAAAGAAAATACTGCGCTTTCCGCTCTGTTTTTGGACCCCTTTCGTGATCTTCCTTTGTTCCGGTGTCGGATAGCGGTTGGTTTTGCTCGGGAACGACATTAATCACGTCACGATGATCGATTCAACGCGAGCCAAAAAATCCCTTCGATTACTTGCTTCTCGCGACGAGCCGAGCTTCCGCGAGTAAACATACCGCGCTTGATCCCATTGAAATAATTTCTTGCAGGAATGGGGTCTGACGAAGGACGGTCTCATCAAGCACCACGATCTCTGTCTAACCCTTCCGATCTACGCGAAAGGAACGACGCTGTTGATGCAAATCTGCGACGGTAGCGGAAACCAGAAATGGAGGCACCTGGAGGGCGGTCTGATCCGCCATTCGAGGATCCCCGTGTGCGTGGACTCGAGATATCACGCGCAGAGAGGCATCACCGCCGAGAAATGCGACTCGA